AGGGATTGAGGCTGTGAGTGGTCTCAAAAAGCACTGTGGTCACTAGAGGCAGGGGGTGGGGGGTGGGGCAGAGCCCCAGCCAGGACCTCCCCGTCCTGTCCTGTCCCCACTGGCACCCCAGCCCTGATGACTCTCTGTCCGTCTCTGGCCCCCGCTGGAGCAGAAACTTCCCACTCACAAGACAATTTCTTCACTCTCGATGCCTTTTCACAATATTCTTGGCAGCTGTTGGTTAACTTGCGTTTTAAGATTTTGAGTAACTTTAGAACAACAGAAAAGGGAAGCTCGCCTCGCCTCCTCGCTGTCTGGGCTCCCGTGGAACAGATATTCTCCTTTGACGTGCCTCCCTGCCTGGAGGTTTCCTTGGCTCACTGAGTCACACTCACTTCCCGTTCCTGCGCTGGGGCCACGGAGCCCCTTCCTACCAAGGAAGGTGAAGGCGTGGGGCATTCCTTCCTCTGCCCCTTCCTCTGCGGGGGTCCTGCCTGTCCCCAAGTGGCCACCACCCCTCCTGCCCAGCTGGCAGCTCCAGCGAGCCCTGGAGCCTCATGTTTGCTGTAAATTGAGCAAGTTCGAGACCACAAACCTTTCCCTTCCTTGTATGACTTGGATGAGGTATTATTCTAGAACAGGCCCCCGGGCACGGCAAGGGTGGAGAACTCCCACTCGGTGCATTCCTGATGCTGAGAACCTTAGTCCTCACTTCGTCTGGGGCGGGCCCTCGGACCCTCCAAAGCGCTGATGTTAGCCTGAGAAATCCTTTTTTGCTCCCTTTGTGGGGCCCTCCTTCTTAGCCTGCCCAGGGCTGGTCCCCATTAGAGTGTTAAATAATAATAATATTGTATCAATAATGTATTATTATGATGATCATCATTAAGGCAGCCAGAGTTTCCTGGATTCTTCCTAGTTGCTTACAATGTGACCGTCCATCACCCTGAGGTCTGTCTCCACCCCAGACCTCCCTGATAAACTCAGATCCTGCTGCCTCCCGGGGATCCTGGGGAGAATACCGAAGACAATGTATCAGGTTGTTACTTTCTGTGGCTTTCTATGTCCAACTAGTTGCGGAGGGAAAGGTCATTTGAGAAGGATCCCAGCTAATTCCAGTGGAAGGATTAATAAGGTTGGAAATAAGCCTCAAGAGGTCATGGGTCCAGGCGTTGAGACTTCATAGCAGCTAACACCTTTATGGGGAGAACTGGTGGGGACAAGGGGGCATTTGCCCCACTCCCCCCAACCCACAGATCAATTGAAGCATCATGACATCATGGATCCCCTGAGAAGGTACAAGTATGCAGCTCCACCAGGGAGAGACGATTCTCACCTACAGCTTAAGCTGATCTAGGCTATCGTGCTAACCACCTGTTGACCGAGGAAACCGCACGGTGGGGATGGTGGGGACAGACGCTAAGGAACAAGTTGCATAGGGTCACGAAGAAGCTGCCAGCCAAATCCAGAATGGGGGCCATTCCCCAGGACAGGAAGACAACCCCAAAATGTCCTAGTTGGGATAAATGTCCTGAGGAGATAAGGCACCGTGACATTTGAGCTAAAACGAGAAGGAGGGAGGGATATGGAGATTGGGGGAAAGAGTATTGTAGGCAAAGAGAACAGCAGGTGCAAAGGCCCTGTGGCTGGAACAGCGTGGTGTGTTTGAGAGACAGCAGCACGTCCAGCCTTGCTGTGGCTGAGGGAGCCAGTGGAGTCACGGAGGGACCTTGTTAAAGCAGAGAGAGGGAGGTTGGATAGTATTCCCATAGGAAGGTTTTGAGAAGTCTGAGCAATGCCTGCAGAGGGCTTGGCATGATGCCTGCGACACGGTCAGGGCCTGACATTGCTGGCTGCTGTGGCCCAGAGGGGTCTGTGAATATTTGTTTGAATCAAAATGTCCTTAAGTGGGAGACGTTACAACATCTCGCAGGTACAGATAAGGGGCAGAGGCCGGTGTAAGCAACAGTTTTGTTGCTGCGGGGAAGCACGGAGTCACCGTTGGCTTACTTCTTGTCGTTTCCTGCCAGGGCCACCCAAACCCCAGGCGCAGACTGGAAAGTGCGAAGAAACCGAAAAATTGGGCCACAGCGCCCCCTGGTGCTCGCAGCGCTCACCTGCTTAAGCGACTTCCCCCCGGAAAACGAGTTTAAATATTAAACTGTGAAACTATCTCCCTCCCACTCCGGCTCGGCCAGTTAAAAGGCTTCCCTGCCGAGGCCTGGCGGGGAGCCGCGTCTCCAGGGCGGGCGTCTCACCGCCACCCCGCACCCCACGCCCTCGACGGACCCTGTGCATCTTCCCGCCCTGGTGGGAGTTTCGTGTAAACCCTAGAAGTAGAATTGTGGGGTCAGAGTGTTCAGCGCTTCTCCAAGGCCCCACCTGCAAAACTGCGTGTGCGATTTTTTTCTGGGGGAAAAAATGTCCTTATTTCCCCGAATTCTCAAAAGGATAGGGGGACTTAAATCAGGGCCACGTCCTCCAGGGCTGGTGAGGAAGCGTCCTGTGCGTTCTGCCTCTGCCCATGCTTCCCGGTCCCAGTCTTGGACGGGCCACATCCCGAGGTGATAGAATGGGAATAAGCAACGCTCCACTGGGGGGGCGCTGTACCCACCCACCCAGACGCCCTCCCCTGGCACCCCTCCCAGCGGAACCTCTTCACCAGCATTAGATGCGTTCCCCACCTGTCCTGGCTCACATCCCTTCTGTAGTTTCCCACTGCACCAGCAGAGGCCAAATCCTCACCCTGGGCCCCCAGAGGCCCCGTGTGGCTCTCAGATTTTATTACCCCTTAATATCTCTTTTGCTCCGTCTCAATCTCTTGCCTTTGTGTCCAGGTGCCCTCCCTCCCTCCCTTCCCCGACTCCTTTTTTTTTTTTATGTTTACTTTTGAGAGTGTGAGTAGGGGAGGGGCAAGGGGGGGGGTGCTGGACAGAGGATCCGAAGCGGGCTCCGCACTGACAGCAGAGAGCCCGATGCGGGGCTCAAACCCACGACCCACGAGATCACAACCTGAGCCGAAGTCAGACGCTGAACTGACTGAGCCACCCAGGTGCTCCTGACTCCTCCTTCCATTCTCAATTCAGACTTCCCCTTCCTCCAGGAAGCCCTTCTTGACTGCCCCCAGACTGGGTGGATTAGGGTATCCTCTGGGCTCCCACAGCCCCCTCTGCTTGCTGTCCACCTGGCTCTGCATCTGTGCCCCAGAGAGAACGGTCACCACGTGTCCTATTCACGCTGTGAGACCCGTTTCTCCTTTCGGCTGAGTGTTACGGGCTGAATTGTATCCGCCCAAACTTCATGTTGAAGTCCTAACCCCCAGAACCTCAGAACGTGACTGCATTTGGAGACAGAGTCTTTTATGGGATAATTAGGTTAAAATGAGGTCATTAGGGTGGGCCTTAATCCAATATGACTGGTGTCCTTATAAGAGATTAGGACACAGACAAGCAGGTGAATAACCATGTGAGGACACAGGGAGAAGATGGCATCTAGGTATCTATTTGTCAAGGTGAGAGGCCTCAGCCGACACCTTGACTTCGGACTTCCAGCGTCCAGAACCGCGAGAGAATACATTTCTGGTGTTTAAGTCACCCAGAATGTGGTACTTGGGTATGGTGGCCCTGTCACACTCGTGTACCCTCTGAACACCCCGGGCGGGGGGAGGACGATGAGCAGAGTTCTAACTCCGGGGTGGGAAGCGGGCACGGTTTGCCGTGTGCCTGTCCTCCCACCGAAGACGACTCTGATCCCAGGAGCTGGAGAAGCCCCCAAGCCTTGTACGGCTCCAGGTCTCAGGAAGACAGTTC